GCTGACGACGCTTGCGTACACCATTCACCACTTGATACTCTGGACATGTTGTTGCGGTAGCTGCAAGCAAAAATGGATATATGAGGTAAGCTAAACATCCAACATGTACAAGATACAACAAGTATCTGGCTGGACAGGCGCCGCCTCACATCCAACATGTACAAGATACAACAAGTATCTGGCTGCACAGGCGCCGCCACATGTCGAACATGTTCAGGACAACATGAAAGACTTGCTACGATTGCGAAGTCCCGTTCACCAAGTGCCAACATCTCTGAGTGCAGTTCCAAGAGAAACTCTGCATGTGTACTTGGTTTTCCGCCGCTTCTCTTCTGTGCCTCCTTGAAGACGATATACGCGTTGACAACGGCAACATCCACGAGACCCATGATAATAGACTTGTAGTATTTCTTGCACCATGTCTGCATTTGAATAGAATAGCGCTGGAGCCACAACTGGTCGTGAACATCGATCCCGCCTGGTAGTCACAAATCATTGAAGGACATGGTATCGGATTTCGAATACCTCGTGATCCTCGTGTGCGTCTCTCTATTCACAACATAAATGCATAGTTAGTTTTGTAATCTCGATAATACATTGCATTGTATACGTACGACATGTATCCATTTCGCGACTCGATCCAGTTCCCAAGAACTGGACATGCTTTCTGTCCCACCACAGCGCAGCGGTCATGTGGGGGCAGTTCTTCGCCACCGCAAACCGTACGGTTCCATTAGGAGTCCATTAGGAGTTCGTTTGGGTCGATTACGATTTTTTCTACGGTTTCTTGAGGGTACCCAACCTTGTCTCCCATAATCGTGCCAATGCTGTAGATGTTTCGGCTCAGGAGCTGGTATGCAAGTTGAACCGAAGTATAGAATCGATCCGTGACCACCAAGGGGTACACATCACCTTGCTGCTCAGACAAACTTGACTCCAGATTTCGAATTGCGGCCGCTGGTCCCGTGTTTGGATCCACTGATTGCTGAGTTTCTGGAACGTTCCCAACTTCATTAGTTTGCTGTGCCTTACCACAGTAAACTTTAATTCTACATGTATACAGATACAACAAGTCCAGATACAACGTGATTAGCTACAACATGTTTAACTTAGCCAAAAAATATAAGAGTCCCTAAGGACCCATGTGGATACTTGCCTCACGCAATAAGCTGTTGTCGCGCAACATGTCAAGAAGAGGTTTGTGCCCCACTTATGGGGCTTTGCTTTCATGTACTGCCGTATGGGGTTGTTGCGATTCTTGGATGGCAAAATGCCTTCGTCAAATGAAATCACAGGAGGTGTCTTGTATCCGGCAGGAAATGTGTGCTGTAGCGTTTCGACAACAGAACGAATTTTCCAAGCGCGATCGGTCGCGGCACGAACATCGGCGTTGTTTGTAAAGTGAAGGTTTGCCATGATATGCTCGAATCTGTTCCGAGCCATGAAGTAACTGAATGTATCACGAGGTATAGTGCCTTTCACCGTAGAGCCCCAATGGTCGCGAAATCTGCGTCGGTGAGGGTTCAGCATGCGAGCCATCAACAACCCCAACACGTGTAAGACTTCATGAGGTTGAATATCAGGTTTCTTGGCCTCTCGATGCAAAACCACTCTTTCGTTTGCTTCCCAGGTGTTCCATGCCATAACACTGATCAACTTCATCCTCACTTTCGCCTGTCTCAATGCATGTTACGTCGTCTTCATCGTCTTGAAAAATACTTTCACCTTCCGCGTTGCTCCGCAGGGTTCGCTCAATTTCCTCGTCATCATCCATTGCTCAATTTCTTCGTCATCATCCATGAAACAAATTTCAGTCTCTGTGTCTTCGCAGTCAGAATTCAGAACATCGAACTCTTCATTTTGAGACGGATCCTCAGCACCAACGAGTTGCTCCGTAGAAACAGGAATATGTGTAGAAGACCTGCTCAAAACAACAGTTAGGAAACATAGAACGTTTTACCACTAATACACGCACTCATTAGTAAATGGACTGCGTGCGGCTTCGGAACATTCCGTTGATACAAGTTCCTGTGGTGGGGTCGTCACTGCGGAGGATAGAGCTGCATTTTCACCGGACTGATCTCTGCATCACATACAAAGTTTTGTTAGAAATGCCACATCTAACATAAGTTGATACTCAGCACATGATGTATGATCCATCGTGAGAATCATGTTGTCCATCCAGCATTAGATTACATGCTGTACATTTTGATCCACGACTACATGCTGGATGCAGAAGATGTAGTACATACTTGCTAAGCATACAACATCGTTAGTATGGGCATGTTGTATCATACACCATTAGAGATGCCGTACCTAGGTGATGTGGCAGATACTGCACTTGCTTCCGTCCTTGCATCTCTGTTGACAGACACTCGCTTCTTCCTTCTTCCGTGGCGTCTCAGCAGCGCTAGTGGACTTACGTTTCGCAGGGGTGGCCTTGGCTTTCTTTTGATGCTTCTTCGCGCCCGCAATCTCAAACAGTTTCTTCCGCGCCTTTTCCTTCGCAGTAGCACCCATAACTTCAGCATCCGCAGACGCTTCACATCGTGCAAGTGAAGCGGCAACCTTTGCAGCTTTCTACTGACCCTTGGCAACTCACGATGCACTTAGTTTTCTTGGTTTTTTCGACTTCGACGCCACCGAGTTCACAGCAGGTTTTGGTTTCGACCGCTCCTTCGCTGGTACCTTCGCCTTCGCCTTACGTGTTGCTCCGTAGAGACAGGAATATGCGTAGAAGACCTGCTCAAAAACAACAGTTAGAAAACATAGAACGTTTTACCACTAATAAACGTACTCATTAGAAAATGGACTTCGTGCGGCTTCGGAACATTCCGTTGATACAAGTTCGTGTGGTGGGGTTGTCACTGCGGAGGATAGAGCTGCATTTTCACCGGACTGATCTCTGCATCACATACAAAATTTTGTTAGAAATGCCACATCTAACATAAGTTGATACTCAGCACATGTTCGGGTTGGCTCATCGTCAAATTCTGCGTCGTTTTCTCGCTCACTGGCTAAATAGGCCGTGTGTTCCCTCTGCAGCCGCACACGCTCCGATGCGCTTCGTCCGCGGAGACGCTGAACGAAGAGCTGATGCTCACTTCGGGTTTTCCTAACCGGGGGAGTGTACGACATATCAACTTTGTACTTGCGTTGCGTTTTTTGATGTGGTCTTGCTAGCCACTGATTTGTGGGAGGTTGTGTGGTACACACACCATGCAGTTTTTACACAGTTTATATCCAGACCGACAAATCCTCCACCACCTACCCCTGTGCATTTTCAAATTCGTAGCTGTTATGTAGCAAAGTTTCCCGCTAATTTCATGTTGGATCTACAACATGATTCATGTAAGAGGTACAACGTGTGGGCGTTGGGGGGTTAAAGACGGCCGTTTCGGAAACAAAGCACGTGGTTTCAGACGACTGATGTGAACCCATGGCTCTACACGGTAGTCTGTGGCCTGAACCTTCAATTTCACCTTGAAATTGTCCCGAACCTGCTCAATCCTGAATGATCCATGCCACAAATGAGCCAATTTACGACTCAGACCTGGCAAGACCTTCAGGATATATAACCAGACCGAGTCGCCTACTTCGAAACCAGACTTGAGGGGATCTGATAACGCCTTCCACTTCCGAGTCTGAACCGCAGACCTCGTACACTTAACTTTTTTCTGGGGTTCTTCTGCGTAGGCGTGGACATAGCTGTAGTCCCGCTGCAGCTTTCGACGCCATTCGTATGCGGTACGTTCCGCAACGTCCGTCGGTTTTGGACCCAGCATGGCTGCTATAGTACTCCGACAATCGAACCCATGCAATAGGTAGAACGGCGTGTCCAATCTAGTCGCATCGAACGAGGTATTCCGAGCATGTATAAGCTTCTATGCGTGGTCGTCCCCATCGGTTTGGTCGGGTTCTTCAACATACGCCCTGATACTGTGCATAATTGTCTGACCCGACCGTTCCTGCTGGCCATTGGCCTGTGGACGATACGCGAGCGTTGCCTTCTGCTAGATACCCATCATCTCACTGAAACGACACAACACCCGACTCATCAACCTGGGATCTCTGTCATGACGGATTTCAGAGCTTGCGCCATAGTTCCTGACCACAACCTCCTCATAGGCTTCGGCACAGTCTTGAGCGGTAGTACTGCTCATGGGTTTACACATAGCATAGCTTGTGATCATGTCTTGAAACAGGAGTAGGAAGGTATTCCCTCGTTCAGACCTCGGAAGGTGTGTGACAAAGTCCATAGACACTACTTCGAATGGGCGGTCGGTTCAATTTTTCCGGGTGAGGGTCCCGGATTCGGGGGTCGCCCCTTAGCGGGCGCACAATCCGTACATGCTTTGACAAACACCTCAACATCTTGTAACATCCCGGTCCAGAAAAACTCTGAACGCAGGCGCTCATATGTCCTGATGATATCTTGATGGCCGCTCTGGAAATCCTCATGAGCATGGTGTAAGATGTCGGGTCGCAAGACTTCTGGTACAACTAGGCGATGTTCAGAACGCTTGTCCCTAGGACGTTTCGGGGTAGGCGCAGCCAAACGATAAAGAACGTCCTTTGAGTCTAACACATATCGGTCAGAACCCTCCGCGATCTTCTCGACTTCCTTCCGCGTATAGTTCAACAGGTCACCTCTCAAATAATCCTTGAGCCTTTTTAACTCTGGGTCCTCGTCCTGGTAATCCCTTAATGCTTCTCCAACGTTCGTCTCGATAGTCAAGTGGTCGGCTCGGATTATCCACTAGATCAACCTGTCTGGAACGACTTCGGGTTGCGACGATCTTCACGGGTGCCGTTATCTCAGACGCGTTTGGAACAGGGTCTGAAACGGAGTCATTTGGATGATCGTTCTTCGGACTCTGACTTGCGTCGTCCTTTCGTTCCGAGGCTTCTGGAGTCTTCATGATCTTCTCCGGGATCGTGACGACGAATTTCAAATGCATCAGTTCATCCGCATCCTCCACCACCCACACTTTCCCGAGTGCTAACGTCTTCGTCGTTAAGTAGTCTGCCGCCTGGTTGTAGTCACGCTTGACGTGGACCAACCGTACTGAGCCATATTTTACTTTCAAGGCTTCATACTCAGCAAGTCGACGTTGCAGATTTGGCTGGTGACAACCTATTAACCTTTGCGCTTGTTGAATTACGATTCTGGAATCGCCGACCACAACCACATCTCTGAAACCGCGGTTGATGGCTAGCTCCAAGCTTTTAATCAACCCATGGTACTCTGCATCGTTCACAGTCACATCATCCAGTGGGAATCCGTGGGCGCTCAGGATGTGCCAGCCCGGTAAACGCCACAAAATACATCCACAACTTCCCTGTCTAGTGGAGACCTTGGCTGCACCATCGAAGCTCAGAACATATCCTTCGAAGTCTGAATCCAGCATCTCTACGCTGATAGGAGGAGGTACCTTGATTCGCCCCTTGGCTGGAATCCGATTTTCGGCGACTTCGTCTAAATGTTTCCTGGGGGTAATGCCCGCGCGAGGATGGCAGCTAATCCATCTTAATCGCGCTGTACACGGCATAGTTCCAAAGTCCACTTCGACAATTCTAGACCCCACATTAGGTGACGACCGTCGGCGGAGTTTGACTTCAATAGCCATTTCAGGACCGAGTACCGAGTATAAATCACAGTCGGTATCTCTGAACCGTAGATGAGCGGACGGAACTGCTCTAGGACTCGCAGTATTGCCTACACCTCTTTCTCCGCGATGTGGTACCTGAGTTCGGACTCGTTCAGAACCCGCCCAGTGAAGCGCACTGGTTGGATGATCCCTTCATGTTCCTGCCCCAAGACAGCACAGGCCGCCCACGGGTTTGCATGCGGGATGATGACAAACGGCTTGGTACAATCTGGATGGCGCAGCTGCGGAGTCGAATCTTACGTTTCAGAATCTCGAACGCTTTCTTTGACTCTATCCAAATCATGTCCGGCGCGAATGCGATCCTTCCAGCTCGTAAAGCACAGCCGCGACAACAGGTAAATCCTCGATAAACTTGTTGTAGTAATTCAGGCTTCCTAAGAACGATTGAACGCCCTTCAGAATCGATGGGAAAGGTAGGTCCTGAACACTCTTGGCAATCTTCGGGGTAGCCCTGATACCTTCGACACAGACTTCTGGACGTAGATACGGTATAACTTGTTTACCGAACTCGCTTTTCGGGAGACTAACCGAGATATGCCAGTATCGGAGTCGGAATAGCCGAGCATTCAGGTCTTCACAAAGTTTGTCCCAGGTAGGCGCCCCGTGAGCTATGACGTCTATGTAAGAGCTTCGTCCCAGTACCGGTCCAATCTGCGTCGGGATCGGAATGTTTCGCCTGAATGCAGTCACCAACTTTATCAGTTCTGGAAGCCTGAAGCCACCTTCATCCTGAGGATTCTCGATCGTCGGTCCTGTGTCTGGGACGGTCAACTTCAGAAATTCCAGGACATCTCGATCGACCGTGGCCTCTTCCTCAGGTGGGAGCGGCACGAATCCCCGCGACAGTTGTTGATCACATTCTGATACACTAACGGCGCGTTCTTGACGCCAAAAGGCATCCGAATCCACTGGAAATGTCCGAATAGACAGACACAGGCCGAAATCAACTTCACCCACTCTGTCATCTGAATCGACCAGAAACCGCTCACCATATCTAGACTCATGAACCATGCCGCAGCATTAAAGTCAGTCAGCAAGTCGTCAATCAGAGGTAGCTTGATCAACTGGTTAATCAGCCTATAATCAACACACATTCTGATATCTTCTCCATTATTCTTCAGAACGATCACGATCGGGGACGACCACTCCGATTCAGAGTGTTCGATAAGCCCGGTCTCTAGGAGCTTCTTCAGCTGTTCGTAAACCTTCACCAGGAATCTAGAGGCGGTCTGTCGAGCACGCAGTGCTATCGGCATCGCATCACCTACATCTAAGTCACAAACGACTCCGCGAGCTGGGGCCGGTGCGGCATTACCATCACCTAAGAAGATACGACGATGATAATTCAGGATCTTTCGCATCTTGTCCTCCATCTCTGGGGTCGCGACGCCAGGAACGCCGACGTCGGCTTTGTCGATATCACACTCCGGAATCAATTCTTCTAACTCTGGAAACATATTCAGGTGGTCGCTCAACTGATCCAAGAGCTCTGTCCCTTCTCGCAGGTATACGGCTGGTTCCAGATTTAACTCCTCTACTGTCACTCGCATGACACGTTCGTATTCTCGTTCCAATCTTTGGACAGGGGTGTCTGAGAGGCCCGAGGCGTCATCCATGGGGTCTGAGAAGTCACCCAATGCGCTTTCAAGGACATCATCTAGCACATCCTACGAGTCAAACTCTGGAACGAACTCTGAGTCGGCGTTCATTTCTGATGCGAAATACACCGGCCCTGTCGGTGGTCGATGTTCTGGATCCCCTGTCCCTGAAGGGGTGGCTGGTTCCTCTTCCAGGTCCACTGCACTCCAACGTCGCTCTGAATCCTCTGCGCTTTCCACAATCGACGGCTCTGAGCCCTCGTCTCGGGCTCCAGGCCTGGAGGTTTTGTCAGGGACACAACTACACTGTTCTGAAGCGCCATGTCCACAAGATCTTGGGAAGTCAGCTTAGGTACCAACATCTCTAGTACCCACTTCTCCGGTCTTCTCGGCGGATGTCGTCACAGGGACACCTGTCAGATCTTTCACGCCTACGGCATTTGCCCCTGGCTTTGGGGTGGTAGCACGTCGCGCAGCGAGGAAAACCTCCACAACTTCCGGCCGTTCCTGCAACTGTACCAATCGAACCTCTGCATCCTGAGATTTTGGGAGTACGTGAAGTTTAGTCGGCCACTGATACTCTGGTCGTGGCACCGCGGGAGGATCCCGTAATCGCATCAACTGCTCTAAGCACTCGTCACGCATTCGACCCTGATGTGATTCGGTGCTCTCAAGAATAAGCCGTTGCCACTCCTTATACCTCGTTTTCCCTGGGCGGACGAATCCTGACTCCTTCGGGAAGTGTCCGTACTCCACAATCCAAGCAAGTGCAGTTCGAGTGTCGTTCCAGACATTTCTGTCCGAAACGTTAACCACTCAGACTGCTGTAGCCCAGGACGGACTCCAAACAGGATCGCTGTCACCCATCGTTTTCCTCGTCCGACCCAGACCACTTCTCGCTGCGGGTTGGTCTGTCCGTATTCAATTTTGACTACCGTAGCTTCGCCAGGACGCAGATACAAACTTTCCTTCGCGCACACACAGCAGTTCCAGCCCTCTCCGCTTCCTAGGAACATCATCATACATAACAACATTCTCCTCATCCGGTAGCTTGACTAATCCTTCACGGATGGACAATCGAACTCCTGCCGAGTACATGAAGTTCATTCCTAACAATACGTCCACACCTTCAACAATGTTTCCGATCCAGACATCTTGAATATAGACCACTTCCCAAACAAGGGTAGTCTTGACGCGAGTATGCGCGGAGATATACGTCGGGATTTCTCTTAGACCAGACACTTTGATCTGCTGGTGCGTTCGGATTTTGAGACTGAGCCTTCGCGCTAGGTCCAGACTCACAATACTCACCGAAGCACCCGTGTCTAGGACTCGTTCGCCGATCATTGATTGTCCCACACACAGTCGCAATCTCATAATAGTTTTCTGAATCATGATCTTCCCACCATCCATATCTCTGGCCCGGACCTAATGCAACTTCGACCGGGTCTACTGTAGAACTCGACCCTGAGTCTGGTTTGTTAAAACGCTGATATTCGGGGTAAAGCTGCTCAGGGTAGATGATCTTGTCTTGAACTAGAGTCATGCATTGTTGGTTGTCTTGGTTTTGGTCTTTTCTTCTTCTTTCTGGGCCCATACAAACTAGCACACACAGTTTAGGGGGGTTCTTGAGCCCGTCGCGTACTGGATCTCCATCCAGCGGGCTTAGTGGTTTAACTGCTGTTTCCCTTGTCCTGTGTCCTTCGCCTGTGGTTGGGCCAGCATCTGGCTCGGCACTGCGTCGTTCAACATGCCCTGACTTGCCAGATGCTTCGCAGTCTTGAACGCTCTCCACTCTGCACACGGAATCCCAGGATGGATTTTTCCACAGTCTGTACGTCGTTTCTTTCGACAGACTCGTGCCGGATGTCCTGTTTCAGAGCAATTTCCACAAACTATGTCTTGCCAGCAATTTTCTTCGGGGTGGCCCACTTCTTGCATTTCGCACAGAACGTGTTCCGGTTTTCCAGGCGTTCTTGCTCCAACCATTCCGAAACACGATATGCCTCGTATGATTCGTCAGCCATTACAGGCATCTGGGGGCCATAGTCGTCCAGAACATATTCTGGGGTCTCTAGATCTGCCGCCAAGGGCTGTTCCTCGACCTCCGGGGTCTGGAACTGGACATGCTTTTCCGCGATGGGAGCGGTCCTAGCGTCGACATTTTGGAACGCATGTCCTGGTCGTCGAGGTTTGAGCTCCCCCCCGCGGGATAAGTTGTCGGCCCTGGCATCTCGCGTCCTCGTCGGTGGCGTCTCATAACCATCTTCTCTCCAGACATCTTCATGGCGTCTGAGTACACGCTCCACTTCAGAGATACTCTGAAACTGATGGCCATCGAGAGCAGTCTTGAGCTGTACATCCTTGAGCTTCTTGACAAATCTGCAGAGGTGCAGTTTGCGTCGCTTAGAGCAGGTCTGGAACGGAATTTCCGTCTACACGGCCGCCGCGTTCAGTCTGTAGAAGAACTGCAGCGCCGTCTCTGAGGACCTCATCTTCATAGTGAAATGTCGTTCCGCGTAGGACCCAGTAGTACGAGAATACAGCTTCTTGAACTTGGTGGACAATAATTTCCAATTACGGCGTGTCGACTTGGGCAACTGAGCATACCAGTCTCTGATCGTGGCAGGCATCCGACTCCGGAACTGGCGGATCTTCATCTTACCAGGCCAGGAGCCTTGTGCCGCCATGTCGGTGAAACGTTCCCACCAATTGACTCGGTCTTCCTTCGGCGCAGTGTCATTCAAATTCTCGACCGCATTGTAGTTGATATATGGCCTGAAATGCCAAACCATAGTACCATCCTTGGTCGTCTTAGACGCTGCGGTACCGGAACCGTCGTCATTGTCGAGGCTATATTCTGAGCCACTTGAACTGGTGTCGCTGTCATATCTGTCATCACTACTTGAGTCCGAACCATCTCCAGGGTCAGAAAGTGTTGACCCCGGATCCTCTCTAGCCGTGCGGGCCGAAGACTTCCTAGATTCAGGCCTGGTGGATCTCTTCTTTCCTGATCCAGACTTCGTCGATCCAGAGTCTCCGGAATTGAGTTGTCTGAAACCAGATTCACCAGCGTCTGAAACCGTCTGGACCTTGGGAGCAGATAGAGCTCTTCGCCCAGCCTTGGTACTTTTCACTCTGGGTTCATCCTTCACTTCTGGTAGTGTAGCTCGAAGCTGGGAAAGAGCGACTTCGTTGAGGTTCTTTACCGGGGCATAGACGGAACGGTCCCTTGCGTCATCCTTGATTGCAGAGGTCGCACCTGATTTCTGAGATGCAGAATCAGGGTCCCCTATAGTATTCGACTTGGAACCAGTTGTCGCATCAGGGTGGAGTAGAGCCGCTACTGTTGCACGAAGATCTTGAAACTGCTGCTGGAGGCGTTGGATTTCAGACGCTTCCTGGCTTCTTCGGTGTTCTTCCGTGTTCTTCGGTTGCTGAAGGCTCGCCCGCTCCGATGCGAGTGCTTCTTGGTGCACGGCCAGGACTCTTCTCGCCTCCGCCGTCCAACGCGCGCGCTCTTCTTCAACTTCCGTCATGCGCTGTTGCCAACGTTGCTCGTACTCAGCCTGAAAGCGCTCGCGCTCTTGACGCGTGACCTCCTCGACCTCTTTTCTGACGCGGTCTTGAGTTCGTTCGGTTTCCAGGTGTACGGGCAGCTGGTCTTCGACTTTCACCTGTGCCGCCATCACCGAAGAGGTCGTCTCCGCACGCTGTCGTCGACTCTCCATGTTCGCCAGGCGTCCAGCTAGGGCTTCCACCCCGCGAATCGCGCTTTGGAGCTGGCGATTGACAACCAGACGGGCATCGATTTGGGCTTGGTGCTGTCTGACATGGAAGGACTCTTGTCTTTTCTCCAAGGCCGCAAGCCTCCGATCCTGCTCCATGCACATCCGGGCGAGACCATCTTGAGTCTGGTGCAAGACGTTCATGGCAACTTGAGTAGCCCCGGATCCAGACGATGAAGTTCTCGAACGCCTGGATGATGACGTGCGGCTTGACCTGCTTGCCCCTCTCGCTCTGAAACCACTCGCTGAGGAACGTGTTAGCGTGTCGTCTCTGGAACTGGATGGTGCATGTCGACTGTCCCGTGACGTTTCAGAGTCATTTGGTGACTCGTCACGCTGGTGACGTCTAGATGTGCGTCTCGTTCCAGACTCAAGCCTTCTGTTTGACCTCGCCCCAGACTCTGATGCCAGGGGGTCATCTTATCCCGCCATGTTGACATCATCTTGGTCCACTGCCTTTGAGAATTTAGGGATAACAATACAAGACAAATACATGCCCATGCTACCCTCCACGTTCTGAACTTCTTCGGATTGGATGCTCATGACCATGTTCGCTCCAGCGTACGCGGACACTCGTCCTTCAGGAATCGACATCATCATTGACGCAGAGCTTTCCCTAGAGGAACCCTGCGTCCCAGACGTGGTCTCATGTGAATAGCTCTCTCAGGATCCGGATGGACCCACCACACTCAGCACAGAGTCGGAGATTCCACTCGAATCAGAGTCCTAAATCTTCAGGTGCCCGACGGCCGCATCCAAACTCGAATTCCGAGATGGTGGTGTCGGGAGGGTGAAGGAGCTCGATGACCGCATGGAAACACTGGACATAGAAGTCGACGGAGCGTTATGGGGTCGCTTGACTTCAGGCTCACCGTCTGACGATGACGCCACAAAACTCCTCGCGGTCCGGACTCTGGTCACTCTGAAGCGCGACGTAAACTCTGTTCCCAGAAGGCTGGCTTCCACATCTGTCATTGGCGAATCGCCTTGGGCATCCGGTTTCAGAGCCGTTGACTGCAGTTCCGGGCCTGGCGTCACCTCGCAGAACACGCCCGCCGTGAGTTTCTTCCACTCGATGAAATCCACAGCGAACAAGCACTGGATAGTCTCCGTCACGAAGCGAATCTGGTCCAGTCCGCCGCTCACCGCGTGGGTCCGGAACCATTCCGGGACGACGTTGTTGAACTGGAAACCTGCTTCGAAGAACGAAGTCTGAAGCACAGCGGCACA